TTTAGAGGGATTTACACACTCTGCAAGTAATTGTTTCTCTGCCAGGAATAGAATTTGAAAAACCAAAACATTGTGGTTTAGGGCTAAGACACACAAAAAAATCAAAGTAAGAAATCCAAGCGATGAATTGCCATGTTACAGAAATCTGTGAAATTGTAAAAACGAGTACAGAATAATGAATTGCATAAGTATTATGCAAATATTTCCCATCATTAACATACAGCTGAAAATCTAGCAGGCTTATTTTCTTGCTGCTTTAAGGCTAGAATCTGGGTATATCACATTAAAAAAGCGGTAGAACAGTTTCTATTGCCAGCTTTTCTCAAAAACGTTTATTTGGCTACATCTAGAGTTGCTGGATTATTTTTCTGGTTTCTTGTAAAATTGAAACCCACAAATATTTACATATATTTCATAACTAATTATTTGTTTGTAAAAACTTCATATACTCTATATCCCAATATGCCTTTCTGTGAGGCCAATTTGTGCATCAGTCATTTAAACTTTCACTTTAGTTCAGCGAGGCTGATTTCATAAAGCCACTGAAATTATCAGGATTCATCCTGTATTATCTTAATGTAAATAATCAGCTACCCGACATCTGCAGAATTTTCTTCCTCAAATGGATCACTTCTTGTCTACTTTGGTGCCCTTTTCCTTTGGAGAATTTGTGGAAGCCCTCTCCCCGGAAGTGTTCATGGCCAGGTTGGATGGATCTTTGAGCAATGTGGTCTGGTGTTGTTGCCCGTTTCAAGGATGTTGGAACTAGATGATCTTTAAGGTCTCTTCAAACCCAAGTCATCGTGTGATCACTGTGTGATCTATACTGCAAACTTATTAAGTATAATTGAAGGTAGATTTGGAAAAGTAGTAGTCTCCTTCTCTGGAGACTTTCAAAATCCACCTGGACGCATTCCTGTGTGACCTACTCTAGGTGATCCTGCTTTGGCAGTGGAGTTGGACTAGATGATTTTTAGAGGTCCCTTCCAGCCTCTGACATTCTACGATTCTGTGATTCTATGATTCATTGTCTATTTGATGGTATATCTACAATTTTTTTCTTGCTGTTGTGCGTTTTCATGCTTAAAATCCATGTAAGTTCTTCCAAATCAAGTGCAGATTAGTGTATTAACACCTGAGTGCTAATCATTGTCTTTATGTGCCATCCATCTTTCCGTGATTCCCACTGAACACATAAGGTCAGAAATAGCAGAAGGACATAAAAGACATATTCTCGTTGGTCTCCACTCCTTAGATCTGTGACATGAAAAGGCTATATCACCGTAAATTTGTCATTTTATCAATCTTTTCTCACTGACAAATAGTTCACAGAAGACTTTTTTTTTTTAAAGAAATAAATGTAATATTGCCCTTTCAGTACACAAATAAAATTGCTTTTCTCACTGATAAATTCCTTCCTACCCCCTTTCTGTGTCTGCAAAAGTAAAAGAAATTCTATGGTATTCTATGTATTTCAACTTCTTCCAGCTTATTCTCACTAAGGGTATTTCCATATTTATAAAACACAAATTGCATCAATTGACACTTTTATACCTGATGCCACAAGGCAGTTTGTCAGTGTGGGGAGGTGTGACCCTGCCTCACATAATAAATAAAGAAAGAAGAATTGAACTCTCATTGGTTGTTGTGGCATAGTATTGCTAGTACGTCTTCAGGTAAGCTCTTACAAAATATCACTGGTGCCTCGTCTTTCTGTTATTCTAAATTATGTGCAATATAAGGTAGTAGAGGGAAAGCAGGCTATTACCACTTTAACTTACTTTTTTGTTCTAAGGCACCATATGAAAACCCAATGTCATCTGGATATCATAGCAGTCCTCAGCCTATAATTACATGGGACCAACATTACTTGATCAAAGTAAAACTCTTATTTCATTTATGAGCCATCTGCCACAAACCATTATCATTTACTTAGGCCCTAAGTTACAGTTTCCATTTTAATAGTTCTAATAGTTTTTGGGTGGTTTCTATGAAGATTATTCAATAAACATTGTCCAGAAAAACTAGATACTTTCAATGTGTAATCCTCTGGAATGTTTATTAAACAATAACACTGGATGTTCTGACGTTTTTATTTCTGAGAATGTTATAAAGTTATTATGCATCCCACTGGTAATTCTGCATTACTGAAAACTCCTGTGCAATGTAATATGTCTTACCAAAAGCAAATGCAGTCAAATTAATAACAAGGATATCAATGTACTGTAGCAAGCCGTATAGTGGGAGGGGTGGGATGGGGAAAACGAATACAGAAAATAATACTGTTTCACTTTTGCAAAAAAAGTTACAAGAGTAAGAAGAAACAGTTCTATGAGGATTTGAAAAATCAAAATGTAAAATGTAGGTTCACTAAAAAGAGTATTTCGTTATGTATTATATATTTATTTTTTAATGCAGATTCTCTGGACAAACTGAATTTAATTTAATTATAGAATGAAAGTGTTCTAAAAAATTACTTTAAAACCTAAATGTTCTTGAATTTACTCCTGTGAATAGGTTTTTTGCATCTCATATTTTCTGGAAGGCCACCCTGCAAGGATGCTTTTATTTCCTGTTAAATAGGTGCTATTCCTCTTAACTAACCACAAAGAAAGCTCAGTCTAAGGTTCAATACACTTAATACAATGCCTCCAAAGGGAAGGCTTCAGATATAACTCAGTGCTTAGCCATAATGAACCTGGTAAATGTTGGTTTCCTGCAATAAAAATAATAGGTGAAATCTTGGCCTTTTGAAGTTAATGGGAAGTTTGCCATTGTTTTTAGCGGAGCCAGTCTTGCAACCAATAAATCTAGTGAGCAAACTAAATGAAGTGAGTGAAGGAAAGAAGGGGAATTAATGTAACAGAACCTCTACATTACTTCAGTCTTTGTTCTACCTTCCTTTGCCTTCCTTTGCTCTTGATACTCCTGAGATGTGCTCACAGAAACTATTGTGGCAGTGTACTGAGCACCAAATATTTACAAAAGCATTTAATGAATAATTCTGAAACAGGAAAATCAGCTTTGTTGTTATAATGAGTCAGTCTCAGACTGAACCAGAGGCTGTTTTAGGGGTGAGTAACCAAGGGCAATTGCCCAAGACTGGATACCATAGAGAATGTGTTAGACTATAATAATTAAAAGTACAAGTTATCCAATATGCCTCAATCTATCCCTGTGTTCTTGCTAGTCAAAATTTTCTGTAATGTGAGTGAACTAGCAGTCAAAAAAATTAGTTATAAATATAAACTTTTGTCTTTTTATATTTATATCCTTATCTGTGTATCTTTTTTTATTGACATGTGAAAATATGTAATTTCTGATTTCCGATGTGTGACAAGTGTAGCCACGATATTTTTGCATAGCTTTTCCCAGACATCCATTACACACCTGCACTCCATGGCCATTGTCTTGGTTCACCTGGGGTAGAATTATTTCTTTTCCTAGTAGTTGGTACAGTGCTGTGTTTTTAATTTAATGTGAGAATAATGGTGATAATATACTGAAGGTTATGCTAAGTCGTGCTTGTCCTAAGTTAAGGATTCTTCAGTTTCTTGTGCTCTGCCAGCAAGAGGGTACACAGGAAGCTGTGAGGAAGCATGGCCAGAATAGCTGACCTAAACTTCCCAGTGGGCTATTCCACACCATAGGACATCTCTTTCAGTATGTAAACTGGGGGCAGCTGGCCAGGAGGGGAGGATCATTGCTCAGGCATTGGTCAGTGGGTGGTGAGCAATTACAGTGCTCATCACCTGTCTTTTCTAGGGTTTTGTTTCTCCCTCTTTTTGTTACAGTAGGAATAACTATTAAATAATGATAATGATAATAATAATAAAAAGAAGAAGAAGAAGAAGAAATAATAATAATAATAAGAAGAAATAATAACAATAACCCTAACCATGACCATAACCCTATTATTATTATTATAAGGTGGCTCATCATAACATCTAACAGTAGTTACACCTAAGCACAGATATGCTTACAGATAGACGGAAGTAACCTTTCCTCTTAATCACACTGTATATCTGACTCCTGCTACATTCTTGTCTTTAAATCAGTTCCATCTACTTCTTACTATTTAGTTGTGCAGCTTAACTTTCACAATGAAATGTACTTACTACTGGAGAAGCAGATCCAATGTGATTAAAATTATTAGGTAAAACACTTCTTGCTTGCTTAAGTCTGGATCGGCCACAAAATGAAATGTAGCACGTCAAGCAAGCAGCCAGAACAATACCTTTACAAGACACGATCCCATCATAATGTGTACTGGTCATGGTCTACTGTGGCAGGGTGAGGACGTAGGTAGCTAGAAATGAATGACCCTGCCTATGTTAATTAAAACCTAAGCAGAAAGTGTCCCGATCTCTAGGGTGCCCAGTTTATTCAGAGGGTCCTAATTCAGATTCTGTTCAACAGAGTGAAAATGCAAATCAAACAGTATCCAGACAACAAAAACAAAGGAGCAAAAGAGCATTATATGCTTTGTGGTCAACAAGTTTCTGATGTTATTGCCATGACAGTGTCTCCATTCCTTTACATTTTTTTTGGTCACAACAAACTAGGCTGCATTCATTGCTGAGTTTGTGAATTTCTTTGTGGGGATCCAGCCCCACAAAAAAAAAAATGCTGAATGTCTGTGAGATAGAAAAAATCCAGGGGAGTCGCAGTAGGATAAGATCTCTTCCAGGAAGGGCTCACACATAAGTTACAATGTACAAGTACAACCTGGCATTTGTGTATGCTTTGTTCTTTTAGGGGTTCATTTTGGAGCTGCCAAGATGTTGCTACCATACATGCTCACTGCAACTTTGAAGCAGATAGAGGCAGGCAGCAGGTCTTGATACTTGGAAAAACGTTGGGATACCCAGATAGTCAGGTCCCTACCCTAACATGCACAGGGTCAACTGAGACTTGTGCTCCCCTGGAAAATGTTGAAATTCCCCCTTTTGTCAAGAATGCCAGCTATGCACCCTTATGTCACCAGAATACCTAAACAGATAGAAATACCACAGCTATAACTTTTTCTCTTTTGCAGCTGGAGAACTACATTGTGGAAAACATGAAATCGGAGATGGTGCAGCTGCAGCAGAATGCAGTGCAGAACCACACTGCCACCATGCTCGAGATAGGGACCAGCCTCCTCAGCCAGACAGCAGAGCAGACGAGAAAACTCACAGATGTTGAAACCCAGGTATGTTCTCCAAGTGATTTTCTAAAAGCTGTTAATTGCGGAGAACTTTTCCAGTCCTCTTGCTTTTCTAACGCATCACCACTCAAAACACTTAAAACTCAGCCTCCAAGAAACACACACACTCTACTTCTTGGTACCAATAGCGGTGATGAATGACTGTTCCTTTCTTTGATTTCATTTGGTAAGTACACTTAACTCTGTGTGTGTAAGGCAGGCAGGACTGTTCAAGAAATCAAATCAGCATTTGACTTCAGATAAACATGCCAGCTATTAACTGTGAATGATACATGTGTAAACCTAAGTAATGAGTTTCAGGCTAAAACAGAGCCTTTGATCTCAATTGTTGTTTGCCTATTTACTATTAAAAGGAAGCTTGTTTATTTTTGGCAAGATGTTTCCAGCTATTTGGAAAGTAGTGTATGTCTGCAGCTTTTACATTGTGAAGAGTGAGGAACAAGCAGCAGCTTCTTTATAAACACTGTGTATTTGTTATTACTGTGAAATTGTGTAACATCACATGAATTTAAAGAGACATCTCCATATGATTCCTAGCACTAAAATCACTGCTGCGACAAGAGTATCGGTCATAACACAGAGTAAAACTTCATACTGGGTTTATTGCAAAGATCTGTACTACTTTTTGCCTTTTGATTTTTTTTATAAGTTTAAGATTCATACTTGTTTTCCTTATTTCTCCCTGTTTCATACCATGTGGTATATCAGCAGCTGCACTGCATCAGTTGCTCTTTTAGAATGGGGCAATTAAAGTATTGCATTAATTTCTTTGGTTCTAGTAGCATATGCATGTCTTGAATGATCATATTTTCTGTCCTAATATTCTTACTCTTGTTTACAGTACTATTATCAAGTTTTTACGTAAATGCATTACAGTACACTGAGAAACAACGGTAATTATGAGAGACAGGTGCACTGTCTTACACATCTTTTTTTTCTAAGTCTTGGTTAATAGATCATCATTAACTTATAAATGCTTTGATCTCAAATGACCACAGTTTCTAAAACATAGTATATGGACTTCTGAAAATCTTTAATTGAGTTACAAAAGAGCAACTATATGGAAACAGAAAAGGTGTGAAGACCTATGGACTGCAGTATCATATATTCAGTAAAGAAAAAGGAGGTGTAGGAACTCTCCTTATATCCCAAAAAACCAGCTCCCTTCTTTAAGCAGACAAGGGACAAAATGTGCGTCACCTCTGTCTCACTTTTCCTTTGAGGAAAGTCCTCAGGGTAAAGGTATCACTGGCAACTGTGTGAAGGAGCAGGTGACTTCCTCCCTCTGGACCTACTGGTGAGGAATTTAAGGGATGTTCAAGATATCAGTGGGAGTGGCTTTTTCTTGTTGCAGTACTTGCTCTGACTTGCAGCTCAGTGATAACATTTCCCCCTTCCACTCTTTCAGCATTATGAGAAAGTCCCTATAGTCCCTGGCTCTATCATTAATCAGATAAAAGTAGTGCAGCTGGCTCAGGAAACTTAAAAGAGACTGCTCTTGGAAGTGATGGAAGTAGACAGGTTCTACCAGAAATACTTATACCAGAGTAACAAGGAGTCTGATGGACTGAAGATAGAGACTCCATCTCCTTAAAATCTTACTGACCCCTCCCAATCCCTGATCCATCCAAAATCCCACTGATTCCCTTGAGGATTTCTGCTCTATGTGAAGCTCTACTGATATTTTGTAGGCTGCTCCACAGATGCAGCCTTTTTGGAAATCAGTTGGTGCTTTCCTGTCTTCTTATCCCTTTTGCAACCTTCATAATACACCTTCAGTTCCTGCCAGGTTCTTCTGAAACTCTGGTGATATCTCCTGCCACATTCAAATTCATCCACCCTGAACAACATACTGATAATTTCCATTTTTTTCAACCTCTGCACACTTAGAAATAACAAATCAAATTATTCTGTGAACGTCAACAATTTCAAACAAAAATAAGGCACTGGGTTGTCATTGATAGCCGTTCTCTTTGCTTTCTGTTCTGCAACAAATTCCTAACAGACATGCATGAGAAAATGTAACCATATAATCCTATGATCATAGAATCATAGAATGGCCTAGGCTGGAAGGGACCTTAGAGATCATCTAGTCCAACCTCCCTGTCATGCGCACGGACGCCACCTCTCGACTAGACCAGGCAACACATGGGGACTGAGCGGGAATCGAACCCGCGACCTCGGTGTTGGTCATTGTTGCCAGCACCGCACTCAAACCACTGAGCTAACCGTCCCTATGATGATACTGATAAATGTCCTTTCAGGACAGGTCTGATGGGCTCCGTAAAAAGACATCATTTTTAGTTCCAGAGTGACTGCATCTCAGTTGTTGTGTGTACACATCTTTACAATTCCTTCAGACTCTGTGTAATGAACAATGATATCCCAACAAAATCAACTAACATTAATTAATTTTATTGCTTCAATTCTTTATTTTTCCACTTTTGAACTTTTTTTTTTTTGTTAGAATCTGTTCTCTTTCATCTAGTTAAAAGGCTTGTTTTGGTCTAATGTACTTAATAAAACTTGTGCTATTGATACAGACCACTACTAAAGGGAAAGATAACTGCATAAAGCAACATTTAGGATCACAGCTTTCATCTTAAAAATCTGTGTAAGAGTGCAAGTAGTGATAACATACGTGGACACCAGAATTCTGCCAGCACTGCGAAAGAGAGAACTCAAGGGAAAGCTGAAGTAGGAGGTCTATTTACAAAACAGCGGATGCAACAATTTGGCTTCAGTTCAAGTACTCTTGGACTCTTCTGGTATAAGCATGCTTCGTAGGAATGCATGTTTGAGACATGCCTCTTGTCCTTTCCACTGGAATGAAGCTTATTTGGCAGTCACCTTTACTTTTTCTGCCGGCCTAGTGTTATTCTACAGTAAACAGGGTGCCAGAATATCAGACGGTACATATCAGTGTAGCTTGATTGAGTTCATTTGCATCAGCTGAGCAGCTGAAGCTAAAAAAGGATGTAGGAACAATTTTTTACGAATCACCAAATCAGAATGAAATGGCTGCATTATGTTGCCGTAACAACATAACCAGGACAATATAAACATTAATGTTTTTAATTTATCCTTAAGGTGCTAAATCAAACATCCAGACTTGAAATTCAGCTGCTGGAGAATTCACTGTCAACTTACAAGCTAGAAAAGCAGTTGCTACAACAGACACATGAAATCCTGAAAATTCATGAGAAAAACAGGTAAGAATAAGAAGTTGTTCTCTTAAACTTTTTCTCTGTTCATCATGAAATGACCTGTGCATATTTTTTTCTAAGCCACTGATGAAATGGAAGAAGTAAACATGGTAAGTGGAAAGTATAAGTAATATTTATTAAATAGTAAAAGATCTAGGGTGAGAAATCACACTGTATTAGCTCCTATGTGATAATGTAAGTTGTTTTTTACCACTTTTCATGTGCACTGTAAATTAACATCTCAGTTTGCTTCATGATAACATAGTTACATGACCACAGTTCTTGCTACTGAAAAACACAGGGATAACTTGTATGAATACTTTCAAGTAGAAAAATATTGATAATAAATTATTAATTTATCAGCTACTTTAAAGCGCATAAGAAACAGAAAAACTTAAGTATTTCATTTTTTATTTTTAATGAATACCAATAGCTAATATATAGAAAGAACTCTGCCTTTGAACTCAATTGTATATAGCATACCTGGAGCTTCATTTAAAGCATAAATAAATGATAAACATTTTTGGTTTTATGTTGAAATTGAAGGAAAAAAAATGTTTACAGCACATAACACTTTAAGCAGTGAAGTGAGAGTCAAGAAGTTGCAGTGTTGTCCTTTTGTGTGCTAACACCGGGACTTGGCACCTGAAGTCACTGGATTTAGCAATTCAGTATCTCAGAGAGCACATGTGGTGGGTTGACCTTGTCTGACTACCAGACACCCACCCAGCCACTCTCTTTCTTCCCATCATCAACAGGAAAGAGGGTGAAAATATGATAAAAAAACCCCAACTTTTCCCCAAGGCAGGCTCAGTTTGGCTGGCAGGCTCCTCTGTGTCCCTGCGGCCTCCGCTGCCAGCACCTGAGTGGCACCCTCAGTAGGGCGAGTAAAGCCATTTTGCTTCTTGGCCCTTCTAGAGACGTGGGGCTCGCGCTCCTGCCTCTGTCACAGCCAGGTTTAAGCAGGGAGGACAGAGAGTGCTTTTGCTCCACAGCTTCACTCTTAGCTCCTAGAAAGAACAACTGTGAGGTAAGACTGACCAAGACTAAAGTATTTCCTGTATCTGCGTTTGATGTTGAAATCAGGCAAGCAGCTTTCAAAGTGAGGTGGTTACTGACTGAAGTGTCCTCTAAAGCTTTGGCAGGTTGCCAGACTTGAACAACATGGTCTAGCGAAAGGTGTTCTGCCCATGGCAGGGGAGTTGGAACAGAATGATCTTTAGAGTCCCTTCCAACCCAAACCATTCTGTGATTCTATGAAAAGGCACACTGACTCCAGTGCTACGGGACAGGAATCAACAACTGAGATGGAAAGACCTTGCCCAGAGTTATACATAGAAAGACTATCACCACAATGCGCAAGGAGCTACTGGGAAAAGAAGGCAAAGAACCAGAAAATGAGGAAAAGGAGATAGTATTGTTACAAAGATATGTGTTTGCTAAATGTGTCTAATTGCAAAGCTGATCAAATAATATACTGTTATTGCTACTGATTGCATAAACCAAATTAATGTATTTAATCCAACAACTGTTTATAACCAGTAATTCCTGCAAATGTTATTCTGAGGAAGTTGGATTATACTGAAAACTCTTTAATTTCACAGACTTCCTTTAACAATTGGAAATATGAATAAATTGGTGTGAGCTTAACTTTAACTTCAGTCATTTCAGAATCAATTCACCTGAACACTGTATGTGGTCTCTCCCTTTAGTCCACACTGAGAGTAGGCATGTGCAGGAGACAGTTCATGCTACATGTTTTACAAACGTACTTCAATGTGGGATTAACTCAAGCATTAGTTAAGTATATAAATACTTGCATTTTTTATCTGCTGCAATCTGGTTAGCAAGTAAATTTTGTTGTCTGCTCAAGTGAATGAGTCTTGTGTACTTAAAAATCTGAATTTCTTTATTTATCTTTACAATGTGTCAGGGTGCAAAGCATTCATGTCAGTAAACAAGTAAGTTTTACTTAAGTTGACCTTTGACTTGGTTGACATTATGATGAAATGGTCTGTGACATGACAAAATGGTCTGTTTGGTTTTGTAGAACAAAATGAGGGGTACGTTAAAAGGCACATTTACACCCAATAGTTTCTCCCAGAAGTGTAATTGTATGTGGATAAATAAAAAAACACATGATGTTTCATCTTTTAAGGAAGAAAGAACCTGAGATACACTGTTCAGGTTCTGTTACTCTCTTCATGGCAGTGATAAAATTAGGGAGAGGGTAGTGTTGTGTTTACAGTAAAACATGGACCATCAGCTTCTGTATCATTATTTACTCTTAATGAAGAACTACATAGTCATGGACTTGTAGGTCTTGATCCTGAAATCAATTATATGTCTGTCAAGTTCACTATGAAACAAATTTTGGTGATCTCAGCAGATACTAGGTTTCCGCTTAACTTTAGACAGTACTTACAGAGTACCCATTAGGCTATGTTCAGTAGTTATTTGCAGTTAGAATGTCTTTTTCTCTTCCCCTGCCACTTTCACACCAATGAGATAGAGAAAACTCCTTTTATCCATGTTGTCTACATGAAATGTAAGCTTTTTTGGAAGGATCTTTCTTTTGCAGGAGGCATACATCTCAGTAGGAACAAGCGTACAATTATTATGATTGCAAAAATAATCAAAATGGTGTACTGTGGGCAGATCATTCCTTTCTCTGTGTAAAATCTGCTCTATGTAAAAATAAAAGTAATGATCTTAATCATTTTCAAAGAACTGGATTAAAGTAATGCAAAACCTTACAGTAATATTAACTGATTTTTGATATACTACAGTAAGTTTTGTATTATCCTTAAATAAAATGAACACTGCATATCAACAGGGGACAAATGTGTGTCCTTAGACTAGAAATATGTCTATTCTTGGCCTTTCTTTTTACTTCCTGCCTCTTCTGGGAAAATTAGCCAATTTTTTTCTCTTTATTCCACTAAAGTGAAAGAGATTCCATAGCATAAGTAGAGTCACACTTGCCCAGAATCATGTTTCTGTTGAGCGGTCTCATGCCGTAAATAATTTCATTTTGTGGGTTCCCGCCCACTGTAATGTAAATGTTGCTTTCTACCACTGCCATTTTTTCTCCCACAAGACCTTTCTAAAATCTATTTTGATTTATTCTTGAAAGATATCCTTGTTTAAGCATCTTCATGAGCCTTTCTTTTTCTTTTTTCTTTTTTTTCCCAGAGTATACCAGCTGCATTTAACTTATTTTGTGCCACTTGTTGCAATATGTGATTGTGAAAACAACTTTTTATTTACTCAAAGTAAACAGGAGAGGAAAAACATAGTTGAATTTTGGATCTTCCAAGAATAAATAGTGGATATGAAATTTAAATGCAAAATACAACTTGAATTGAGATTGAGACATTCAGTATGAGAACTGTTCTGTCCTACAAAAGGCGAGGACTTAAGAATGGTTCTTCAATTTTTTTTTTCATCTGACTGTGTGAATGATGAGAAAACATAATGTCTGATGAGTTTTATTTGCTTGATTTTTCTTATATTAAAAAGATAAATTCAGATTTTTCACTTCATTTTTGTAATTTCAGAATTATGTTGTTAGTGGTATAAAAATAAGCTTACAAATGGGAGGTGGATAGTTACTTTAGTGACCTAGAGAAATATGGGCACACATATTTTTATATTTCCATGAACTTGTCAGACAATATCAGACCATCAAAGTATGAGTCATCAGCACCTAAAAATATAGGGAAAATCACTCATGTCAAAGAAAGAACAAAGAAACAATCTCAATAAGAAAATACCATTCTTGCACTCAAAAGTATTTAAATCCTCTTCCCATTCATACAAAGAATATAAATACAAGAAAATAAGAATATAAATACAAGAAAACCATATGTAAACACCCAAATAATTTTTTTCTAGTGTGATGTTACTTGTCTTTATTTATTGAATAGCTCAACAAAGTAAATGTGTTTATTTTTAATAAATCCAGATTTTTCAAGAGATTATTTTGATGCAAAAGTTGTCCATCTCTAAGATCTGGTCTGTATCCTGTTCTCACATGCCTAAACTGAGGCCTCTGAAAACAAAGATAAAAAAATATCTTAAACAGCTGTGGTCTGGAATGGATTAGTGAATCAACTACCTACCTTATAAGGCAGATTGTCTAAACCAGACTTTCCTTCTTCCCCAGAGAGCTACCAGAGTGCTTTCTATATGTTCTACTTCATCACCTTTCAGAATGACAACAACTTTCACTGGAAGTCATTCTCTGACTTCTGTATGGGCCTTCTACCCTCTCCAGCGTTATCAGAGGGCTTTTTCTGAATCAACTGGACACAGCACAGTTGCACCGAGGCATCCCACTGGCTTATATCCTGACAAAGTTAACACATTGTTTGTATGGTTGAAAATAGATTCCTAGCCTTGCTGAGATCAGTAGATTAGACATTGAGACATGGTTAACCTTTGAGAAAATTAAGGTTGTCTGGGTTTGTGGTGTGTATGTTTGTTTTTAACTGTCTTCTAGATAATGACCCAAAGAGTCATTGCCCAATGGATAATATTGGTATTTATCCATGTTAGCAACAACATTTGTTTCCTGACAACTTCATTTTGTTCCCCAAATTCCTGATTTTTTTCCCCATGTGTATATGTGTTTATATATTTATGTATATATATGATGCTTCTAGTGAATGGTGATTTATTTTATAGTATTGTAGTCCCCATGACTGCTTCATCTAAGTCAGTATGTTTTCAAGCATATAGGAATTTCAAACATATTGGAAATATACAGGAATCTCAGATGTATAGGAAAAGTTCACAGTAAACTCACTGTAAACAATCATAACATGATGCACATAACATTTTACTGGAAAGTACTAAAAAAGAATGTTATACAACAATTACAGTCAACCTTTACAGATCATTGAATTAAGTGGTATAGAGATAGCCTTATTTTTGTTTTTGTCAGGAAGAGTCATTAATAAAAACTAGTAGAAATATTTTAATTTTAACTCTGTCTTCATCATGCCTTTTTTAAAAGTTGACAAAATATCTTTACCAAGCACTCAGCAAAGTTATTTCGTCAGGATATTTGTCCATTAGAAATTGTCTAATGTCACAAGGAAAAAAAAAAAGAGAGAACAGAGTGATTTAAATATCTAAATATCCTCATAATTGTTTCCAACCTGTTTCAAATTTTTTATGAGGTTTCTAGCACTTTTTTAATAAAAAAAATGAGCTATAATAAATTTGAATGTAACAATAAAAATCAAAAATTCTGACTGCATTCAAGTCAAAGGCCATATGAGCAGCTTTTCTCATACTGTTTAAGAATTTCTTCCTTTTGGAACAGACCAGTGCAGAAATCTCCAATCTATGTTAAGTTTTTGCTTTTGTTCATTTTGCGCTTTGACCAAAGATTTCTCATTGATTCTTAGTAAAACACAATAAATGTTTTGGATTTCCTCTAGGAATACAGGGAGTGGCCATGTCTTCAAGACTTATTCTTATCTGTTGTAGATTTATGAATATAGAAAGATCATTGCGTAAATACATATGCATTCCTTACAATAGCTTAGTTTTGCAGTTTATAATAACAGGACTTTTAGTCTGCATAGAATACCATAAAGAAACCAAGTGACACTCTGACACTCCCATCTTTCCACCACATGTTGTTGACACACCACTCATAAATATTAGGATATATTATTACTAAAGCCGCAAAACATCTGCTTGTTGTCTGTCTCTGTAGAAGCCAAACTGGGAAGTTCTAAACATTGTCAGCTTCTTTCTTGCTTGACATAGCCAGTGTTACTACAAATAAGACTGTCATCATCATGGGAAGACTATGGAAGGCTACGGTGGGAAACAAATAATACAGTGCACAAATTGTGGCAGCCAGAAGCTCTTCCTTTTACAGGAAATCATTCAGATATGGCAATTATGTAGATGTGGACATGCAGATAGGATATTGTGGAATTATGGAAATACTCTGTGCTGTGCTAGGCTATGGGTGAAGAGAAAGGATACTTCTTTTGTCTTTGCTTACCTTTAACTATAATTCAATATTCAGGCTTCAGGAATGGGAATTCTCTTATACTGACAATGCATAACATTTTCAATGCAATATAAGATGTCAGACTGAGACGTAGTCACACCCATCATCCATTTTATCACAGACTGTGCCCAGGGCACACCTTGTTCCTATACAAAGCGCATTGACATAACTTATAGTCTGTTGTAAAAAATTAAAATCTAGAGTCAAAATAAGCAGTCCAATGTTTCCTGTGAAAAAGTGGGCAAACTGATAGAATTCATGTGTAATTTTTTTCTTAAAATTTTTTTGAACAGTATTTTGTGTTAAAGCCAGTTCCATCAGAACACTTCCAACCACTTCTGTTTAACTAAACTAAATATTCTGAACACCTGCACAACAAAGCTAAAGACTTCCACGGAAATATTCTCAAAAAAACCCCATGTGAGTCTAGAGCATAAAGTCATTGTGTTTAATGTTAGAATTCAAGTGATGAAAAGAATCAGCTACAGGTCTGATAAAGTGCTAAAATAATTTATTGTGTTTGGCTTCAAAATCTGTACTTTGTTTCAGATTGAAACTTTCTATCATCTGATTCCAGTCCACTGAATCTTGTTATGCTTTCATTACTAATTAATCAACCTTTTAGAGTGAGATATCATGTTCCCTTTCGTGTTTGGGACCCCACAAAAATTGTTTTTCTTTCCCATCTTTTCTTTTTTTCCCACTTTACCCAGATCCTTCTGGTTTCTTTCACAGAACTAACTAAACTGATATTACAAAGTATATTATGCTCAGTATGTTTCTAAGTCCCACATTTACAACATTTCAGAAAAAGAGATTTGCTGCTTGATTTCTTTTATTTACAGACAAGAAAAAGAGTTTTTTATAACTCTAGCTTGTACAGCAAATCCAGGGCCTGAATTTAATCCTTGCATTGTTATCATTTGTAACAGCTCATGTTAAGGCTCTGTGATATCTAGTAGAAACAACTCCATATGGATTTTATTACATTCTTCAGTTAGGTTAAATGACCTGAAATTATGCAGGCATTTTGCCACTGATCTATTATCCAGAAGTAAAAACAAAGGTGGGGGGAGAGTGCAAATAAATAAAACCTAAGACTGACTTGAACAGGAAGCAGTTTGTTGGCAAGTTTGTTACCACCAGTTGGTTTATGGGCATGAGAAACACCTCTTTTGGCATATACAGTAGAATTACTGAATACAAAGTAACCGAGGGACTGAATTATTTTCTTTATCTAATAAAAATAAATTCTTTCTACTAAACTCTCACCACAGCATTAAAGCACTGGCCTCAAAAAACTTCTTGTTCACTGTTGATAGGTGTTAGCTGTCCTTTATGTCTACAACTCCTATATTCTTCTAGATATGTTCTGATATGCCTTTGATCTCTGTATATTTTACATTTTCAACTCAGGGCAGAGAGGGTACTGGAAAAAAGAATATTAATTAGAAGAAAATGTTTCCATATATGTGTAAGATTAATTATAAAAATTGGTATAAGCAGATTGCATAGTATGACACCCAACAGTTTACTGTGTGAGGAGCCCTTTTTGGAAAAAGAAAAGGTGTGTGTATGTGGTGAATATGTATGTAGACTCAAAGAAAACGAGGGAATCCTACCTTAAAATGCAAACATTTGATCTGTCTTTTGGGGAAACAGTACCATTCTTACTGTAAAACCAGATACTACTCAACTGGTGCACAATTTCTTTCTCAGCTCTGCAGAACATATTAAATAGTACTTTTATTGTGGGTTCCACATCCCTTGATAGTACACCATAACTTCTAATGTTTAGCTTCCATTCAGTGGCAAGACTTTTCACAATTTTTTCCTTAGCTTAACCCTAATTTTTGTCTCTTATCATATTGACCCACCCATACTACCAATAATGTCCTCTTCAATGCCCTGCTCTTCTTCCTCCTTTTTCTACCTCACTTTTTTTTTCTGCCTGAACTTCTACATACAAATGTATAAATGGCCCTATGCTTTTGCATTTGGATGAGTGCAACAATTAGATATGCAAGTTCATGCACTTTGCACATTTCACCATGCAAAAATCACAAAATGTGACCTTAGAGTTCAGTTGTATTTGGCTACTTGGTAGAGAAAATTAGTGGGCTGTATAAATAGATGTAACAATTTTAGAATAAATTATTTATGTGCTGAATTCTATGGTAAAAATAATAATAAAAAAGTTTCCTCTATTAATAAATATGTTGGCACAAAATTATATCTAGTAATTGTTTTATTTCATTTTAGTTTACTTGAGCACAGAATTTTAGAAATGGAAGAAAGGCATAAAGAGGAGATGGACACTTTGAAGGAGGAAAAAGAGAACCTACAAAGCTTGGTCACACGACAAAGCTACATAATACAGGAACTAGAGAAGCAGCTAAACAAGGCAACAAGCAACAACAGTGTTCTGCAGAAACAGCAGCTTGAATTGATGGATACAGTTCACACTCTGATCACCCTCTGTTCCAAGGAAGGAGGTAAGAATATTAAAAAATATTAGAATTACTAGGAAATTTCTTCTGAAGTCCTGAATTTTTCGAAAGGCAAAAATTAATCAGATTATTCCAAGAATGAAAAAAAAGATATAATTGAGAACAAAACATCTATCGACAACCCACAAATCAAACAACATTTGGACAGTGCTGATGCTGACCCTTCTACTAACAGCCATATTTGAATTTTTAAATTTAATATCGTTGAGTTGTTATACTTTGACATAGCTGACATAGGCAAGTCCATTGACTTTACATTAGCAATACTGATTTGTTCCTCTGAGCATCTATCTACTGCTGGGAGTTATCCAACCAACTGTGAATGTTAACTTTATAGATGCCTATGTCTAATTTACTCTAGAATTCCTTTACAATTAAAGGGGAAAACAAAACATTGAACAAAGGAAGGTAACCCTGAACTTTATATATATATATGAGTTATAATGATCACAAAGTGATCGGTGACAGCCAACATGGCGTCATTAAGGGCAAGTCATGCCTGAATAATTTGGTCACCTTCTATGACAAAGCTACAGCGTTAGTTGACATGAGAAAAGCCACTGATGTAATTTACCTGGACTTGTGCAAGACATTTGACACTGTCCCACATGACATCCTTGTCTCTAAAATGGAGAGACATGGATTTGACAGTTGGACCTCTTGATGGATAAAGAACTGGCTGGATGGTCGCACTCAAAGAGTTGTGGTCAATGGCTCAATGTCCACATGGAGACCAGTGACAAGTGGAGTTCCTCAGGGGTCTGTTCTGGGTCCAGTGCTGTTCGACATCTTTGTCAACGACATGGATGATGGCACTAAGTGCACCCTCAGCAAATTTGCTGATGATAACAAGCTATGTGGTGCCATGGACTCACTTGAGGGAAGGGATGCCATCCAGAGGGACCTTGATAGGCTTGAGAAATGGGCCAGTGCAAACTGCATGAGCTTCAACAAGTCAAAGTGCAAGGTCCAGGACCTAGGTCGGGCCAATCCCAGGCACAAATACACACTGAACACAGAGTGGGTCAAGAGTAGCCCTGAAGAGAAGGACTTGGGGGTGTTGATAGATGAGAAGCTCAACATGAGCTGGCAGTGCGCTCATGCAGTCTAAAGGCCAACCGCATCCTGGGATGTATGAAGAGGAGCGTGGCCAGCAGATCAAGAGAGGTGATTCTCCCCTTGTACACTGCTCTTGTGAGACTCCACCTCAAATACTGCATCCAGTTCTGTTGTCCCCACCATAAGAGGGACATAGATCTATTGGAACGAGTTCAGAGGAGGGCCACAAAGATGATCCAGGGGCTGGGATAGGCTAAGGGACCTGGGATTGTTCAGTCTTGAAAAGAGAAGACTCTGGGGGGACCCTGTAACTGCCTTCCAATACCTGAAGGGACCTACAGGAAGGCTGGAGACAGACTTTTTACAAGAATGTCCACTGATAGGACAAGGGGAAATGGGTTTAATTTAAAGGAATACATATTTAGATTGGATCTTAGGAAGAAACTCTTCACTACCAGGGCAGCAAGACTCTGGAATAAACTGTCTGGAGAAGTTGTGGATGTCTCCTCCCCTGAGGTGTTCAAGGCCAGGCTGAATGAGGCCTTGAGTAACCTGATCTAGTTGAGAGGCATCCCTGCCCATGGCAGGAAGGTTGGATTAGATGATCTCTAAGGTCCCTTCCAACCTAAGACATTCCATGATTCATACAGGGGAGGGGAAGGAAGGGAGGTAAGGGAGAATATATTACAAAAGACATGCTAAGAATAACAGCTAGAAAGGAATTAACAGTCGCGCCTGGTATAGCATACAGAGGGTTAAAAATATTAGAGGAAAGAAAGTTAAGATCTATGTGAGGTTAAGTACCAGCAGTTTGAAGAGTCCAGCATATTTGTTCATTGTAATTCTAGAGCTTTAAGTGCCATAAAGTATCTAAAAGCTAAAAAGCAAAAAAAAAAAAAACAAAACCAAAAAGGCCAAACAACAACTGTGTCCCCACAATCAAAACCTTATCACCTGCATTGTTATTCAATACTTTGTTTAAGAGGCAGAAGACATATTAAATCATTCAAACTATTCAGCCCAAGGAAGTGTGGGTTTACTCTCTGCTATATGTTCCCATGCAACTTGTGTGGCTTAAATCTAAACTACTCCAGTGACAAGGATTACTTCTCTTCCTTTGGAAGTGTTGCATGCTTGGGCCCATGTTGATAGAACGCTTTTTTAAAAAAAACTTATTTTTTTGTCGTGGTCATTCTAAGTGTTCCCTTCTGCTTGTTCTGTTATGTAGTTCCCCAGCATTTTGAAGGAAATAACATCCTTCATAGCAGGCTGTTCTCATATTGGGAGAGAAACATTGTGATGCAATGCAAATCCTTTATTATGTTTTATGTTCTTTTGGCAAACAATCCTGGCAAAGCTGTGTTCAGAGTGTTCTAACACAGCTCAGGAGTACTTTAAAATTAATGTCATAATGAAATATATATTATTCTCATAAAGAGATATACTGCAAGTTCTTTTTAAAGTTAGAAAAGTTTTCTAATAATTTTGAATCTGATTCAATGAAAAGAAAATCGAACAAACCAGCATTTTTCCTAAACATTTTTCTTCAGCTGCTTCTTATAAAAACTTTGCGTGAAGATTATGGAAATGCTCCTGTGTACAAATTCAGGTACCTGAAAATCTTAATTTTCCGCAGTTTTTTTATTTCTGAGGAACTGTGGAAGCAAAAGTTGGTCAGCACATTGAAATGCCTAAATAAAATGCTAATAGCACTGATTTGGAGTTCATTACTTTTTGTGTATTAACATGTTCAGAATTTTGCTTGTATATTTTATTTCAAGAGAATAATTTAAAGATAAATAATTGCAGAAATGTCTCCACTTACTGTCTGTTTAAGTCTAGCTGACCAACATTTTTGGAAAGTACATTCACTGCTGACAAAGGATACAGACAATTTAAGTTAACTTAATAATATTATCCTGGAGCACAACACCACTGTTATAAAGTCTGAATAATAAAGCATTTGGTTGTACTAAAAATTAATACCAGCTTCAGTCTCTGTACATATGTGTTGAAGATGGAAAAGTATGCGTGTAAGGAAGTATCACAGGAGCTACTCTAAATTAACACAAAAATAAGTTTAGTTAGCCTTCTACAAGTCTTTATGTGTGCACTACTGATCAAAATATAAAATACACTGTGAGAACTGGTGTTTATTGGGAGATAGAGAATAACAAAATGTGACATCTCTTCTATCTTATGTTTTGGTAAATCTCAATTATCTAATTTCCTAAGAGACACAGAAGAAATTGAAATTGTCCACAAAATAATAGGACAATGGAAAGAATTAGACACCTGGAACAATTTCCATATGAGGAGAGGGAGCCATACCATACAGAAATAGTAAATGGGAAAGAAGCTATGTGGGATGCAGTTACAGAATCACAGAAACACAGAATTGCTGAGGCTAGAAAAGACCTCTGAGATCACCAAGTCCAGCCTATGACCCAACACCACATCAGCTAGACCATGGCACTAAGAGCCACATCCAGCCTCTCCTTAAACACCTCCAGTGACGGTGACTCCACCACTTCCCTGGGCAGTGCATCCCAATGCCTGAGCACCCTCTCCATGAGAAAGTGTTTCCTGAGATCCAACCTAAACCTCTCCTGATGCAGCTAAACCTCCCCTGACGCAGTTAATGGAAGTACGAAGAATAACTAGTGGTAGGGAGGAAAGGAACAGCCAGTAACATTGAGAAACATTTTCCATTGATAAAACATAGCACTTGGTTAAGTTAAGTAAATGAAGGAAAGCTCCTAGACACTACTGAGATTGATAAAGATTTTTGAATTACTAGAAAGGTGAAGAGCTAACAAAGGATGGTGTTCCTTAAAAATGCCAGACTTTAGACTAAGGACACTCATCTTTGAAAGGGAGCACAACCTAAGCTAAATGTCAAGTCTAGAAGGTCACATTTTCAAAGATGAGTAACTGCCTAACAATAAACAGAGGAAGCTGAGAAGAAGTGTTATTTTGAGAATATCTTGAAGTAACTTTGTTGGATTTTCAACCAAAAATTTAAAATGTAAGCTGGTATATTTTATATTACATGTATGCATATATATTTTAAAAATTATTATCCACATTAAGAAACTAAAAAATCTCTTCCAAGATGAATCACAGACAGGAAAATTATTTTCTTCCTTGTGTAAGTCATAGCATTCAGGATTTTTAAATTTGTGAAATAGAAATTAGTATTTTTAAAACAATTTTTTATAAAATAATAAAATACAGCTAGATGACTTCATTTGAAACCAAGCTGGTGATAAACATTGCTTTTTGATTACAAAACATGAGATAAATTTCCTGTAGAAATGACATAATCATATCAGAATATTTATTTTTAGATTACTTTAAATAAATTAGGAAACTTTCAGAAGTTTTCCTGCTCAAAATCTGTGAATAATATAGCTGAACATTGTAGAGATACAGGGCTGAACAGAAACTGCTTTAGTTTTACATTCTGAGAAGCAGAATAGTCCCTAGTACTGGATGACAGCCCTAAGAAATCTGCTTTGGTGATTCCACCATGGCTAGACAAGCTTTAGGAGAATTTCTGAAGGGTATAAGTGAAATGAGGAAAAGAGAAAAAAATAAAAGCCACACAAAGTATCAATTTTGTAATTATAGATGGACCTAAATACCAAATCCAGATCTCACTTTCAGTGTCAATTTTGGTACAGACCGGTTTTGGGATGCGGGCCACCTGTAAAACTTGGAATTGTTTGTGCATTTGGTTTCCAAAATACCACCCACCTCTGTCCCAGTGTGAGAGCAATTCTAGGATTTAAGTTGCATGTAATCCTTAAAATAGACACTATAATGGGCTACAAAGCCTGCAGAGAGTCAAATGTATGGAGGATACCATGGGGACTCACATGTCTTCATTTTGTCCTGCGTCTATGGCTAAATAGATTTGTCAA